AACGTGGAAAAACATAAACCAACACATGCAACACTCACCATCCATAAAACAGGAACACCACAAATGCCGAGATAATATCTGAACCGAAACACAAATCAGTGTAGCATCTGTCTCTTATACACATCTAGATGTGTATAAGAGACAGATTTGTGTGTGTGTGTGTGTGTTAGCGCGTGCGTGTGTTTTTGTGTGTGCGCGCGCGCGCGTTCGTGCATGTACCGTGTGCGCTTACTTCGCTGCTGACTCCTTCGATGGAGAGAGGGCTTATCGAATCCACACCCCAATATCCTGTTATTGTGATCGTAGGAGCTTGCTGTCCTACCTTACTCTACTCTAACGTCTACTTTTTTTTCAGGGCTCTGGGAGAACGAACTAAAAATTGGGACATATTCTCGTCCCAGTATCTTCTTCCCTTCAACGGGCTTCGAGGGGTGATCAGCCTGGCGCTGTAGGGACCGCTCCCCAGTTGGCTCGGGGAGGATGGTCCCACGTCGTCGATTATGGAGTAGCGTTTCCTCATTTTGATGGACCACGATCTCGTGAGCTTTTCGATTCCGTCATCCTCCTCCCTATCGCTTCCCAGCTTGTCCCGCGCGCCCCTAGTGGATCTCAACTTAATCAATCTCATCGCCCGTGCCTTCAGCTCTTGCCTAGTCCAAATCTTCCCTCTCTCCTTCCCTTTCCCCGCCGTCGGCCTGAAGAACCCATCGTCTTCGTCATCGCTCGACTCTGGCAGGTTGACCAAGTCAATGCTTCCCTTGTTATGCACATCGAACTTGGCAAAGATCACTGCCAGCTCGTCAGCTGAATGCCTGATCCCCAAGAACTCGCACAGCTGCATGAATTGCGGCTCCCTTATGAACGTGCACGACAACCCTGCTTGTCTCTCCCATTGTCCCATCTTCTCTCTTATCCTGTCGTTCTTCTCCTGAAACATCTGTACCGTTCCTTCAATCCTATCTGCTGCTGTGTCTCCTGCTCTCCGCAGGTCGAGCCGCACGTTGCTCGACCACTGTAACTTTCGATCGAGGTGGAAGTCCGCTATCCTTGCGACAACCCTGTTCCTGATCTCCTGCATCGCCTTCACGCGTTTATTGACCTGTAATCTGTAGTGCATATCCCGGAGGGCAACGGGTACAGTCGATGTGAAGCCCTGGACAGCTCCTCCTCCTCCTCCTCCTCCTCCTCCTGCTGCTGCTGCTGCTCCAGGGGGATCACACCCGTAGCTTCTCAAGTGATCGCCACCGCCCCCAAAGCTTACCCGTGACCTCCTCTTGCCCGGCTGCCTCCAAGTAGGACTGGTCGAACTCATCGACAGACTCGATCTTTCGCTGAAGCTGCTTGCGCGAGCACGTCTCCTAAGGCTTTGCACCCTGGCTGAAGCCTTGCGCCTCGAGGGGGCCGTCTTTTCCTCCCTCTTCTCCGTCCCGTGTGACACTGCCGCCATAATCTCTCCTTTGGACGTCTTCTCTTCCCCTCTTCCCGCTTCGTATGCGTCACCCAGTTTCTTACTCAATGGCTGTTCGCTCCGTCGGCGGCGCAGCTTGCCTTCACTTGCTCGCCGCGGCCTCTTTGTCTGCACATCTTTCCGCAGCAGCGACGACGGCGCTTCTGCTGACGCCTCTGCTGTTGTGGCACCTGCGGCTGCGGCTGTGGAGGCTTCAGCAGAGGAGGATTGTCGCCGAGATGTCGAAGGAGATAAACTGAGGCTGGTACCTCGTCGCCGCAACGGCCTCGGTCTGGTAACCGTGGACACCAATTTGTCGTCAGCAGCAGCCCCATCCTCCTCTTCCACGATGTCCTGCTCGTGAGCCTCCCCCTCCCCCTCCCCCTCCCCCTCCTCCGCCTCCTCCGCCTCCTCCTTGACTCTCGCTCTCCACTGCTCTCCCCTCTCGATGCGAGACATAGAACCTGCCCTTCTCCGTCCGTTGGAAGATAGTACAGATACCACGTCGTCGGTCAACATCGACAAGTACCTGTCCTCCTGCTGCGGGTCAGCTCCCATCAAAGGTGTGAACCCGTTCGAACGAAGGAATCTTCTCTCCCACATAACCCACGGCTGAAGCCTGTTCTCCAATTTCCGAAGGTAAGCGCGAATGACCATTTGTTTCTGGGAGTAAGTGAGGGTGACGAATGTGTCCAGGGGCAAGGTTGGTTGTAGCCAGCCTCTGGTCGGACCGGTAGCAGAAGGGCCAGCTGCCAATTTCCCCAAGATCAGCGCCGAATCGAGGATCAAACTCGCCTCGCGTTTTGTCTTGTTCGAGTTGCGCCTTAAAGTTTCCTCTCTTGATGGACTGCTGAGTCCCCCTCCTCCGCCGCTTCCTTCTCCGTACATGCTCAGCGCACCCGAACCACCACCTCCCCTATCTCCTTGTTCCCGTGCAGCCTGGTCACCCCAGGCAGATTTGACAGATAGCGGTGGCTTCGACGGATGAGGAACAGAAGGATCGCCCCCGTTGTTGCCCATCAACCTCGCGCTAGAAGTGCGCCTTAAAGCTGCGCCTCCGCCTCCCCCTTCCCCCCCTCCTCCTCCTCCTCCTCCACTTGCTGCTCCTGATGCTTCCGCTACTCGTGTTATCCCTGCTTGAGCTGTCGATGGCTCCGATGAACCCTCCCCCCCAACCCCCTGCCGCAGTGGCCTGCCTCCACCCGCCTTATCCTGGCCTTGTCTGCCCCCCCCCCAGCTCCGCCTGCGCGATGCTCCTTCTCGTCCTCCTTCTCCCCCCGCTCTACTTACTCTCCTTTGTTCGTCTGTTGTCGACTCCTTACTCAGTCCCCCTCTCGCTGACCACCCTACACGCATTGCCGAACTAGGATCCGTCGGATCCTCTGCCGAACCATCAGCGGCAGGCTGTGAGATCCGCCTGCCGATCCCCTTACTCCCGCGCCTGTCACTCCCAACTGACCGTTTCCTTTTCCCCCCCGTCCAGACCGTAAGTTCCGCTGGGCCCACCCGACTACCCCGGTGCGGCTTCGTCGGATCGCCGCCGTTCGAATCAGCCATCATGTCCCCTTCTATCACGGCTTCCATCACCGTTCGAATGTCTGGACACCGATCGTGCAGTTGCGTGACCCCATTGAACATCACCTTGATGAGCTCGCTCGACGTCCTGCAACGTTCTCGCAGGTGCCCAGCCCTGGCCTCCGCCAGAGCTAACCTCTGGTTGATGTCCGTGACGTTTAGACTACCACCTCTGGGCATCGTGTACTTCATGTCCTGGTACAGCTTCAGCTTGCCCTCGTACTGGCCCTTGAGCTCCTGCAGTCTGGCATCCGCCTCCTTGACTGCAGCAACCAGCTCCAGATGTGTCTCCTCCCTCTCCTTGAAGAACTCTACCAGCCTCCCCGACTCGTCGTCCTGGCTGAGGTGGGACTGCAACATCGAGATCAGTGCCCGCCTTCTCGCTCTGTCTGCATCGCTCTCTCCTAGCATCCACAGGTAGTCTTGCTCCGTGGCGGTAGAATCCCTCCGCTCGTCTCCCGCCTCCGACTTGTTATCCTTCTCCTCGTTGAACGTGAAGGTCCTCCCCAGCAAGAATGGTATCAAGCGCCTCTTGCTCTCTCTCTCGAAGTACTCCTTCGCCACCGCCTGTTGCTGTCTGGACTCCGCTCTCAACCCCTCCAGCTCACAATTCCATCCATCTTGCAGTCCCGCGAACTCCACTCTGCGGAAGTCCAGCTCCTGAAGGGCCTCAGTCTGCGACTCCCTGGCCGACATTGCTCGCCAGATGATTATATCCCTTGCCTTTTGCGCAATGAACAGCTTGCGCCGCAAGCTGCCCACCACGTTCTGCAGTCGGATCACGTTGTGCTTACACGTGTCTGCCATGTGTTCGTACCTCTTTGTGCGCAGCTGCTCTGACAGCAGATTGGCTTTCGTCTCCACCGCCTTTTGCCTTATCTTGTCCAGCTTCTTCGGCAGGTCCTTCAGACTTCGTCCGACTGCCTTCAGTTGCCTTTTAGTCTCCAGGAGGTCGTCTAGCTGCCGCTGCATCTTCCGCGACCGCTGGTATAGCTGGTCGTACTCTTTTGTCAGCCTCACCACGGTTCTGGAAGCTTCGCGGAACAACGTGTCCACCGACGTCCTCGTGGGGAAGTTCCGCGAAGCCCACGCCGCCACGGCCAACCCACTCTTCGATCTCGCCTCCAACCTCTGCTTTGAGGAGGTTGACGTCACACCTCCGCACAGCTGCAGCTCCCCCCATAATGGCGTATGCTGCTGCTGCTGTTGATGATGATGATGATGATGATGATGATGATGATGCCACAGAGTCTGATCAAAGCTCTCTCTATTCGACTGCACGGGGGCTGTCCACGGCCTGGCCTGCAGAGGAGGGGTTTTCACCGCCTGCACACCGCTCCTGGAACTAGCTGGAGGTTCCATCCGCCCTGCAAAGCCTCAACACCAGCATCGCTGCATAGCGGACATCAATAAGCTACCCACCACTTGCTCTTGGTTGCTCTGATGCACACATTCCTAACCTCTTGCCGACCTGGCCCCCCCCCAGGCAAAGTCTGAGATTGAATCCTCAGGGCATAAGGAATATATACTAATATGATATAGTATAATGTTATATCATATAAACGGAAATTATGTGGATGAACGGCTGGAAATTTGCGTGGCAACTAGGACTTAGAAAGATTCGAAGCTTGATAATGGAAGAGCGACAAGCCATAGCCAGGAGTTCTGCAATCGTCTTCGTGGCCATGGCCGTGATCAACCCATTGAGAACGGGCTGCGCGCCACGTTGTGGGGGTTGGTTACAGGGAGGGTACACTCACAAGGCGCCCTCAAACCCCTCTAATTCGGGTTGCGTGGGGGGTTTGAGGGCAGCTTCGGTAGGGGTGGGACGCTTTTTCGGTGATATATTTCATATATATATATATATATATATGCGAGGCATAAGGCCTCGATAAGCCCTAGTGGCCCCTATTTGCAACAGCGTCGGCCGCCCTGTGTGAAGGCAGGCTCGACAGACCCCAAGATGCCTATTTTGGACTACTTCGCAACTGGGGAAAATTCAGGCAGTTGCGCGGCTCCAGTTGGTTGGAAGGCCCCAGGCCCTGGCCTTCTTAATCAAATGCATCTGAGTCAGGCCCTGGGCGAGATTCCCAGCATGGACCCAACTCAGGCTGCCGGCAGTTGGGCACTACCGTCTTCCCCCGAGCATAACGCACCCTAAAAATGAATGTATACAAGCAGATACAGCCAAAATAAGGGTGCGTTGTGTTCGGGGGAAGACGGTAGTAACCACCACAGGCCCTGGGCCTGTTTCCTTTGGATGGAGGCTCAGCCTCCCGGGGCCTACCGGAAGCTTCTGGGTTGGGGCCCAGTACCGCAGCACAGCACGCCGCAGGCCACTTCAATATAGGGAAGGGCCTGCCTACGTTTTGGACATTCCGGCACTGGCTGCTTTGTGCGCAAGAGCTGCTGCACTATTGCTGGCCAGGCTCACGCGCTCACGGGCGAGCTGGAAGGAGCAGGCAGCCATAGCCGAGCTGCACTGCTGTATGCTGGATGGGGCGCATGGTGGTCCTTGGGTGCATGTGGCGAGCTGGAAGGAGCAGGCAGCCATAGCTGAGCTGCGCTGCTGTATCCTGAATGGGGCGCATGGTGGTCCTTGGGTGCATGTGGCATCTGTGAGTTGGGGAACGAGGTTGTGAGTGATACGAGAGACATGCCTGGTGCTTGGTGCTTGAAGCGTGCGGCATTGTCCGAGATCTGCTCATACTTCGGGGAGCTGTTAGACGTCATCAGCGGCATTGTAGTCTAGGCTAGATAGGATCTGTCGTTTGTAGTCTGTGCGTCGAGCGCCAGATAGGATATCAACATTGGTTCTTTGTTGATGATGATGAGACTATTCCAGCATTGTCAATTATGAGTTTTTGGTGTACTTTTATTTGGTGAAACTCGTGATGCAATTCTGCTATTGGTTCGAGGTCACGACTATCTGGTCTCATGTGTATGATGCAGTTTGATTGCTGAAGTTCGCTATTGCTCATCTTCCTTGCAATTTGGTATCGGAGTTGTGGTTTGGTGCGCTAATCTGGCGCTTATCTTCTGCCTAATGTGGTACATAAACGCGGTGTGTGCGATGAGTGACCGTGTTGCGGGACGTGTGTAGTGAGGAGGGCGGAGATAAGAAGGCGACCCAGGTGGAGAGGGGTATCGCCAGGAAGGCTATGTGGGGTGATATTGGGTGCTCGCAGTGTGATGACAACTATTCGATGTGTGATTGGTGCTGAGGTGGAACGGTTGTGCAATGCTGGTTGTGTCGAAGCAGCGATTGGTCATCGCAATCAACATCGGGTCATCTGGTGAGAATATCTGTGGTTGGGGGCAACTATTTTGAGGTACGTTGCACCTAACCTTATCTATCCGCTTCGACACTTCTTACCGTGAGGGTGTGTGTTCTATCTTGAGAGTCCTCTCATGTGAGGAGTCGTGTGCGCTCAACCTTGAGAGTTGTCAGCCTTCACGTGGAGCATCTGGAAGGAGATGGCGGTGCTATCTGAAGGGCCTGGACGAAGCACTGGGTCACGGTCACCATGCCAACCCACCGGGAGTAGACCACACATGCTTTTTTGATTTGTCCTTTGTCTGCCTGCTGCGCTGTAGCGGGGTTTTGAAGGGCAGGCCAGCCCTATGGGACAGACGAGACCGGGATTCAATAAATAAACATCGGCGGGGTACCTTCCATTGGTTGTGATCGTCGTCCTGTCTGCGACGTTAAAGAATTCCTGAGGACTTTGAAGGTTGTCCATATAACGCCTTCTGATCAGCCAATCGGTCGGCGTAAGGCTCGCTGCACGCGAGGATAAAAACTGTGCAGGGCTGGCCAACTCAGCAGGACTCGGGGCACAGGGGTGGGCCGTGTGCACACCTTTAGACACACACACTATCTGGATCGCTCAGGGACGTTGACGACAAGAGACATTCAAGAAAAATTGAGAGAGGGGTAAATTCCAGGTGATAAGTTCGGGCAAGATCCCATTTTGCAAACAGACCCAACAAACGATTCTATTTTTATTTTGATTAGTTAGATGTACAACCATTAACATCTTGCAGATAACATTAGTTAGAACTGTTTTCTGTTCCTTGTGCTTTCTGTTTGTGGACTAATCAAAGTAAAATAGTTCTCATTTGTACATGTTGGACCAAAATGTATATACTCTCTGATACAGCCACCGATTAATTAGTCTAATTATAAGTCGTTCTATGCACTACGTTGCGGTAAGCATCAAAGAGTGTCTTAGTGCAGACTGTATACCGTTCTGTAGCTTATGAGCGATAGGGAGGACCCACAACTGGACGACCGGCTCTTGCGATCGGCCAGACGCCCGATTGCCCATTTGGCATTAGGACCAGAGGGCGACATATACTTGTTCCACCAACAAAGCGAGAGGCAGCAACATCAGAGAAGAGCTAGGGCCGCAGAGGCAAGCAGAGCATTCATAAGTGAGGCCGCTTCTTCAACAGTCATGACCACTGCTGCGCAGCAGACTTCTCATCTGCAAGACTGGCATCCTAATGTGTCACAAATTCAAGAATGCGGGTTCCATCTGGAGCGAAGGGGAGGTTCGTTTCCGGACATATAAAGACTTTGTCTCATTCGGGCCACGAAGTGCCAAATTTGCCACAGTGGCAAATACGATTCTTCGGATCACACAAAATTCTAACTCTGAAAGCCTGTTATGTTATAGTGTTTTGACTCTGGCGGAAGAACTGAGGAAAATCGGGTACCCTGACAAGGTTGTCATTGCTGGAGTCCGGTGGATGTCAAGAAGGACAAAAACGCCCTTTTGGGATGAGTTAACTGATGCCATCGCGTACCTGCTGGGGTAGCCCCCTCAGAGGTGCTAAATCAACGGATTCGACGTTGGTTTCCTTCTTCTTTCCGACCAGCGAGATTTTTTCGGTCTGATATCTGACGCTTCCATATGGCTAGTGGGCGCAAGCCCATTAATTCTCTTCTGGCACTTACCAGCAAGCGAGGACAAGTGCGACTATCACAGAGTTATGAAATCTGATAGCTTGACACTAGCATTTGTCCTTTTTTGAAACACGCGGTGTTCGCGAAAGTCGACTGAAGACCCGGTATGAAGTGTCTGAATCGGACCGAGCTTTTTTGTACCAATACATCAGTTTCGGCTCAGTTAAAAGAAAGCCACATATGAAAGTAACGGCGCGGTATCGTTGTGGGTGACGTACGCAGCGGGACGTTATTTATTTATTTTTAATGTTTTTTTTTTTTTAATTTTTTTTTTTTTTTTTAATTTTAGTCCCATGGTACCTCACGAGGACCATGGGGTACTAGGCCGGGATGGGTATGTGTAGCAAGTAGACTGTGTTGGTATTTAAAACACAGTGTAGGGAAGGATTTTTCACCTCAACTTGAGTGGCGTAAGAGTAGAAGGGTTGAGAACCTTAACAGTGTGCAGTAAGGTGACGTGGGGAGGAAGGTGATTATGCCATGATAGTAAAACTCTTATCATCTTCTTTCAAGTAATGTCCATTTGTGTTTTGCTATGGTACTGAGCCCTAGTTTCTACCTTGTCGTGGCTTGGGAACGAAACCAGGGTGCCGATTCTCTCTCATGTAATTGCTGCTCGTGTTCTATCGCGCGCTGATTACTGTGAGCGATCGTGCTTGTGTGTTGTTTTTCATTCATTCATTCATTCATTTATTTATTTCATTTATTTATTTTATTTATTTTATTTATTTTATTTATTTTATTCATTGTTTCATTTATTCATTTTATTTTATTTCATTTACTCTTTTATCCTTTCTCTTTCTTTGCTTTGATTTGATGTATTATTTCATTTTCGATCATCGTGATTATTATTGTTACCGTATTTATTCGCATTGCAGTTTTTACCTTTTGCGCGTATTTGGTTCGGATTCATGAATTTGTTGCATGCTCATCGCGCTGCATTGTTCCTTCCCTGTGTAGTATGCTGGGGCTGTTGAGGTTGTCGAACTTATGCTTTGGAACTTCAGTTGGTTTGAGTGGCGTAGTCGAAGTGAAGGTGATACAATGTGGGCGCTTGGCATTGGTGTCGGGGTTGGGATTGTTGTAAGTCTTGTTATCGAGCGCATGTCTGGACGGGGGCGAGGTGGTAGAAGGAACCGACAAGGTAGGTGGTCGAGCTGTGGACGTTATTGGATGGAGAATTCAAATGTCGGGAGTGCTGGTGGTCCTCCGCAGAACGTATATGGTGGAAACAATCTGGTGGGAAATTCCTTCCCCCCAGGTGTTACTCCGCAACTGTATCAATACGGTGGTGCACACGCACCGGCGATGGCCCCTACTGCCGCTCCTCATGCGCCGCCTGTAATACCTGCGATGCCTTCACTACCTACCATGCCGACTATGCCGACTATGTCGACTATGCCGACTTTGCCTTCAGCGCCTTCCGCGTCGTTGCAATACGTGT